GGTCGTTCCTGGGTCTTGGCCGACGGGGGTCATTGCCAAGTGCTTCGATCTAGCTTCCTGCTTGACTTAGGCTCGTTCGATGGCCACGTAGGTCTTTTGAACAAAGATCTGCATACCACCATCGAGCTTGTGCCTCAAACGCGCATTGGACACATCAACTCACAAAGTGGAGTTTAATGGCGTGAGGCATAATTGCTCCTATGCCAGTATGAACCCCGAGATGAATTCAAGATGAGTGACTACACACGGGCACCACGTGCTCAAACTTGTAGTGGCAGGTGTCAAAATATTTGATTCCTGCCCCTGGCGGGATCTCAACGCCATGTGTCAAGGCCATTGATTATTGATTGACTGATCAGCTAGTGGGCAATGCGAGTGGGTATGAGGCAAGCCCTTCGCCAAGCAATCTGCACATAGGACTAGGGGGATGACTCCTTGCTCGCGCCAAGATGTGCCCTCTGCCCGTTGATTGGACTTGACGGGAAAAGTGTCTGGAACACAATGGAGGTAAAAACCTACTCCTGCTTGATTGCTATTGATGATGATGATCTGAATTACAAGGGTGTTGTTTCGCTACCTAGATTTCGAGGGATTCTAACTTGTTTGTCCCTTTGGACGTCCAAGGAACCCTCTATATATAATAGTCGGGTTCATGGAAATACAATGGATTCCGGGTTCTATCCATAATAAAAATCCTACTGTAAGTCCTCTAAACCTTCGGTGTCGTCCAAGTTAGGTGGACTCCTTCTAGCATTGGGACTCCTATAATAGTCGGGTTCATGGAAATACAATGGATTCCGGGTTCTATCCATAATCAAAGTCCTACTGTAAGTCCTCTAAACCTTCGGTGTCGTCCAAGTTAGGTGGACTCCTTCTAGCATTGGGACTCCCGTAAGCGGGCCTCGCCACCTGGGCCAGGTTTCCTTCCGGTCTTTTATCATTCGGCTCTAGTTGCTCCAAGGGTAAGCCGTCCCTATCCTTCGGGATCTTGATCGGGTCTCAACCTTTCATCTAAGCGTCGGGTCATCCTCTGCGGGGTATATCCCCGACACTGAGGACCACTAATGAATGAAGAATGGGCCACGTAAGCTATTGCCCTTGGCATGGTCAAGATGGAATCCTCCGAAGACTTGGCATATACTTTAAGGCATATTCAAATATTTGGCATGTTTTTCTGTAGATGCAACTGACCCTGTGTCACCCTAGGTACCCCTCGCCCCCTATATAAGCCAGGTGTTTTAGTTTGTAGAGGCGGGTTAGATTCATTCATACGATTTCGAGGTAGATCATCTTGTACTTTGTACCCCATCCACAATCAATACAATACAAGCGTGACGTTGGGTTTTACCTTTTTGAGAAGGCCCAAACCTGGTGAAATATTGTGTCTCTCTACTTCATGTTACCATCAAGCCGAGATCGCTAGCTCGGGATCCCATTCCAGAGATCAGACGGATTTAGCTCTGACATCAATGCCTACAAATGATGGTGGCCCTTGGTGCGCCACGTGGTCCACCCTTCATGGACCTCCCGCCCTTTGGGAAGATCGTACGGTGCAAAGCCTCCCCGAGAGGTTTCCGCTGCACGCCAGCCACAAACGGATGGCAGAAAGGGCTCTGTCGCCCGTGAAGCACCTACAAAGGCTAGTACTCCTGCATATTTTATAGGAGTAATGTTCTACAAGGTACATTGACATCACAACTAATTTCTTTCCATATAAGAAAACATATATTGTCATACATCCATCCATTCTTTGTGTCTAAACCAAGTCCATTATTAAGTATACTGATGTTTAAATTGATCTATATCCATATAAGGAAGATTGGTCATTAAACAATCATTAATTTGGTGTAAATCAAGTCCTAGTTAATGAACATTGATTAAGCGACTGCTTTGTAGACAGCTTACAGTGGGGAGTAATATAGAGTAGTAACTTGCCGATGTTACTAGTCTATGTTACTACCTCCATAGTGGGTAGTAACATATGAGTGGTATCATGAAAGAGTTCATTTATTAGGCTATAGACTCATTATGCCTTGAAATGTGTGATGTTACAGTAACTAGCTAAGTTACCACAAACCCCTCTCTCCTCATTCATTAGCTGCCACATAAGCAATCTTGTATTGAAATGTGTGATGTTACTAGTTAAGTTACTCCCATTGTGACTAGTCGTATATCTACTGAAGAAAGAATGGTGCATCGGTTGACTATTCAATAAATGTTGAGTGATACACAAGTAAGATGCAATATAAAGCTTCCAAAAATAACATTTGGATCAACTCTATATAAGTTGTGTTCTCTATATGCATGACATACAAGTAAGGAATCACATAGTTACATGTTCCATTGGAAGAACACAATTGCTTGTACCAATGGGCTATGTTGTCAAATCGGCCTTACTGTGCTTTTTGTTCATACCTTTCTACCTCACCTTGGTTGAATCGATAGTTATCGATGGCAATCATGAGACGGTAAAAAAATACTTTTTGCTTTACACATGCAACTCTTTCTTAGTCGGTTTATGCATTTGTGTCATTCTGGTATCTACTTGACCAATTAATCTGAAGAACTACTATTGGTTGTAGTCATATGTTACTATTTTTTGTTACTTGTGTGCCTAATTGAAATCTAGGGAACCACATGTGGAAACAAATAAGTATCTATCGGCGAGTTTGTATAACAATTATATTGCTAACTATGAACTGGAATTTCTATTTGCAGAACGCCTTAAGACCTCAAACGTTTCAGTCTCCATGGAGACTCAATATCACGGATGAAGGAACCAACATTGTTTCTCATGTACTCTCTCTCTCTCTCTCTCTCTCTCTCTCTCTCTATCTCACCTCTGCTTTTTCACGTGTTAGATTTGAGCCATGTTTGCTTTTTAATTGGCGAGAATTGATCATAAAAATGCCAAAATGGCATGTGATGTATTGAAAGGTACATTCGAGTTACTTTTTAAGTTGACATCCCATACTTAAATCACAAAGAAACAACCGTGGAAATCCACATTTGTTGCTGACTCACCTAAATCATAGTTGGCCTAGTTAAATTATATAAGTGGTTAAAGTAACAAGGTGGTGCCATGTTTTAGTAGTCCCTTGCAACTCTCCATTCAAAACAAATTATCGCAAGAGGAACGAGCTCTGTATTTTATTGAAAATAAAATATTTTCCTAGTTAATTAGCAGAAATTAAGCTCCATAAATAGACAAATCATGCTACCAAAATATCAATATCGACAGATTTAGAAAGGCACCTAAGCCATGCTCTATAGAAGACTTATCCTAGCATACCAATACAGTGCTAACAATACTCTTCACATCTGAGGTAGGGGAGAGAGAGGGTTAAATGTTGTTTTACCCATTCCACAAAGAGGAGAGAAAATGTCGTCAACCCAAACTCACGAGGAACACTATCGGCAAAGCACATGAACTATTGTATGCACACTAAAAAAGGTCCAGTTGCATAGGAATGACACCGCTCCATGTGGATCAAGCTAGATCTAGTATGAGAAACTCACAAGGCCATAAAAAAATATACTAGCTCCAAAGGAGGATAGAAAAAATCCCATTATAAGCATTGGGTAGGAGAACCTCGTAAAACTTGTTTGGCCAAGAAGACACATCCTCACTTATTTATTATATTGTGCTCTACTGTTTTTTTGGTTATTCGCTAATTTGAGCTTTAATTTTTGTCACTAGTATGCAATGTGGCACACAGATCCAGGAAAATTCTATGGCCTCTGAGCTGAAATGATTATATGCGCTTCACTAAATCAAGAGTACTCTCAAGAATCTGGAGCATCCTTATAGATTTATTGTCAAGATGGAGAAAAATACAACTTAATTCAAACTGGACTTCTTTTTTTTTGCGGATGAATTCAAACTGGATTTCATGTATAAACATATCACCTATTCTGGTAAACTCAAATGCTTTTCCACGAAACTGGCATTTCAAAATGTGGTTTTGCTTGCAGGTCTCCCCCTCTTTGTACAATAACAGAGATATTCAATTCTTTATGTACTGGACTGTAAATGTAATCGATGCCATTTTATTAAGTTCTATAGTACCTCGCTCATACTATAGTTTTCCGTTATTTTGCACTAGTTAGAAGTTGTATCATACTAAATGTAAGTCTACATACATCCACAATAATACATGTTTCCATTCATTATTGCCCAGAAAGACTTGAAATCAAGAGGGTGCTACCACTCGCAATGCAAGGGTTTTGTACCAACAAGTGCAGCTGAATTGGTGCCTGGGCAAGCCATTGCCCCTCCAATTTATGGCGAACAAGACCACTACACTAGGCTTAGCCTCAACAAGGTGCACCCTTTCTCCCAGTCTAGAGAATAATATTTCTATACAAGCTTATAAATGTGATAATTACAATTGAAAAGCATGGATTTTATGAATGTGAAAATGAATTATACAATGAGTTGATACGCCTAGAAGTCCCCTCTGAAGAAAAATGTCAATTCATACATCCCGTCGGCACGAAGCGGACGTGCGAACCGGAGCGGGGGGAGAACCCACCCCACTGCTCCCCGATCGCGCGCGCGCGCGCCACATTCCAAAACCCTCGACGGCGCCCACTCGTGATTGAACGATCGTCCGTCCGCATCACCCACCAATCATGAGCAAGTCACGTCCATTTCGTTCCAGCGAGCAAGTCCAAACGAAACGAAGCCCAGCCAGGACCAGCCGGTCCCAATTCGGAAAGGGCCCACCGCACCCACGCTCCACAGTCCCACCGGAACAGTGCCGCCGCATGTTCCGCACGACCAAACAACCAAGATTCATGTCGCAGGGGATGTACATGGCCAGAGATTATTACACCTAAGTACAGCATCCATTGATTAATTACTTGCCACGCCATGATCTACACACATCCTCCACTAATCAACGAATTATTGAGTAACTAATTTACCAGCATCTGCTTGCTGCTGCTGTTCGTGAACTCTACTGCTCGATCGGCACCAAAATTGAGTCGAATGGGTCTCATGCGGAGTAGTCCGAGACGGCGAACGAGTCGCCGCTGGAGTGCGGGCCGCCCCGGGCCGGCGACAGCATGGGCGCGGCCGCGGCGGAGGGCAGCGTGGTGGCCGGCGGCGGCGGCTTGGCGTCGTCGGCCGCGGCGGGGCGCCGGATCTCCTCGAGCAGCGCCACCACGTCCTTCATCGCGGGCCGGTCGTCCGCGCGGCGGGACACGCAGAGCGCGGCCACGGCCAGCGCCTGCCGCATCTCGTGCGCGTCCGCCTCGCCGGCGCTCTCCCTCAGCCGCGCGTCCAGGATCTCGTCGTCGCTCCCGCGCCTCGCCTGCGCCCACTGCACCAGGTGCGCGCCGCCCGGCAGCGTCGGGTCCAGCGGGTGCCGCCCCGTCAGCACCTCCAGCAGCACCACCCCGAAGCTGTACACGTCGCTCTTCTCGCTGATCCGCTGCATCGACGCGTACTCTGCACAACCCCAAAAACCGCACAAAAATGTCAGAAAAAACGACGTCCAAAATGTACTCCGGTAATGGCAGTACGATCATGCAAGTGCGACGAGGTTTTGGACCTGGCGCCATGTAGCCGTAGGAGCCGGCGATGCGCTGCGGCTTGGAGGAGGAGTCGTCGAGCTTGCCCTGCCCGGAGGAGAGGATGCGGGCGAGGCCGAAGTCGGCGAGGTACGGCTCGTAGGCCGGGCCGAGCAGCACGTTCATGGACTTGATGTCCCCGTGCAGGATGGCCGGCACGCAGTCGTGGTGGAGGTACGCCACGGCGTGGGCGACCCCGAGCGCCACGTCGTACCGCGCGCCCCACTCGGCCGTGGGCGCGCCCTTGGCGCCCCCGACGACGCCGCCGTGGAGCAGGCCGCTCAGGTTGCCGTTGGGCAGGTAGCTGTAGAACAGCAGCCGCGTGCTGCTGCCGCCGTTGGCCGCCCAGCCCAGCAGCCGGACGATGTTGCGGTGCCGGATGGAGCCCAGCGCGGCGATCTCGCTGCGGAAGGCGAGGCCGGCGCTCGCCTCGTCCGGCGACCACATCTTCTTCACCGCGATGGTGTAGCCGTTCGGGGTGTCCACCCTGTACACCACGCCGGAGCTGCCGGTGCCGATCACGTTCGCGGACGTCAGCCCGCGGAGCACGTCGTCCATGGATATGTCCAGCTTCTGGTACAGCGTCACCTCCCACGTGCCGTGCACGTCCACCGGGGCGCTGCCGCGGACGCCGCGGCGCGCGCGGGCGAGCATGTAGGTGGCGGCCACCAGGAACGCCGCGCTGACAACGGCCAGGACGGACATGGCTATCTTGAGCGTCGTCAGGGCGCCGCGCCGGGAGGACTCGTCGGAGCCATCGCCGACGACGAGGTGGCGGTTGCCGGCGAGGTCGCTGAGCGGCAACTTCTGGAAGAAGGGGGTGTTCGGGAGCTCGCCGGAGAAGGCGTTGTACGAGATGTTGAGCGTGACGAGGTTCTGCAGCGCCGCGAGCGGGTCGAGGCTCCCGGACAGCCCGTTGTGCGACAGGTCGAGGCTGCCCAGCTTGTCAAGGCCGGCGAACTGCGGCGGTATCTCACCGGAGAGACGGTTGCAACTGAGGTTAAGCGAAATCTCCAACGACTGGAGCGCCCCGAGCTCCGCGGGGATGCCGCCAGAGAACGCGTTGTCCCCGAGGTCCAGCAGCTGGAGCTTCTCGCACGAACCGAGCTCCGGCGGGATGCCGCCGGTCAGCCGATTCTTCGACAAGTAAAGCTTGGTCAGCTCCGGCATCGAGGCAACGCTGGACCTCAGCTGCCCGGAGAGCTGGTTGTCGGATACGTCAACGAGCTGGAGGCTGCGCGGCAGCGCGGCAGGCAATGCGCCGGACAGAGCGTTGGAGTGCAGGTCGAGGAACTCGAGGCTGCCGCACCCGGAAATGGCCGCCGGCATCGGGCCGACGAGGTGGTTCTCGCTCATGTCGAGGAAATTGAGGTTCTTCAGGTTGCCGATCTCGGCGGGTATCGTGCCGGACAGCCGGTTGCCGTTGAGCCGCAGCCGGTAGAGGTTGGTGCAGTTGCCGATGTCGGGCGGCACGACGCCGGAGAGCTCGTTGTTCAGCAGCAGGAGCTTCGTCAAGTTCTGCAGCCCGAATAGCTCCTTCGGGATCGGCCCGGTGAGGTTGTTGTAGGAGAGGTCCACCGACTGGAGGCTCGCGCACTCGGCGAGGCTCGCCGGCACGCCGCCGGTGAGGCCGTTTTTCCACGCATAGAACAGCGTGAGGTTCCCGAGCTTCGGGAAGTCGAGGCGGATCTCCCCGGAGAGCGCGTTGTTGTCGAGCTCGATGTCCGTCAGCGAGGTGCAGTTGGAGAGCTCCGGCGGGATGGCGCCGGTGAGCCGGTTCGTGCTCAGCTGCAGCTGCTGGAGGTTCGGCAGCCGGCCCAAGCTGGCCGGAATGCTGCCGGAGAGAGAATTCAGCGAGAGGTCGATAAGTGTGAGCTCCTCGCACTGGCCGAGCTCCGGCGGGATCGCGCCGACGAGCTGGTTCTGCCAGAGCAGCAGCGACTGCAGCTTCCGGAGCCGGCCAAGCTGCGGTGGTATCGGTCCAGAAAGAGAATTCTGGTAGAGGTAGAGGCTGGTGAGCTCGGTGCAGTTGCCGATGGACTCCGGGATGCCGCCGGAGAGCATTGTGGTGTAGATGGCAATGGTCTGGATCTTCTTGAGCTGCCCGATCGTCTCGGGGAGGCTGCCGGACATGCCGGTCTCGGCTAGGCCGATCATGGTGAGGTCGGCGCATCCGCCGATCTCCTTCGGCAGCGGGCCCTTCAGCGCCTGGTTCCCGCCGGCGCGGATCACCTGCAGCTTCTTGAGCCTCCCGATGCTCGCCGGGATGGTGCCGCTGAGCTCGTTGTCGTAGAGCGTGACGTGCGTGAGGCTGGCGAGGTCGCCGAAGTCGTCGGGGATGGCGCCGCGCAGGGAATTGGAGTTGAGCGCGAGCGTCTCGAGCTTGGCGAGCCGGCAGAGCTCGGGCGGGACCGCGCCCGTGAGCTGGTTCTTGCTGAGGTCGAGCGTGACCAGCGCGCCGTACCCGCCGATCTCCGGCGGGATCGGGCCGGTAAGGTTGGTTCCAGAGAGAACCAGCGTGGTGAGCGACGGCGCCAGCGGCAGCAGGTTGGCCGGGAGCGAGCCACGCAGGTCGACGCCGGTGACGCTCAGCGACACGACGGCGCCGCGCGCGTCGCACGACACGCCGAACCACAGGCACGGGGAGCCGTCCGACGCCCTCCACGAGTCGAGCGCGCCGCCCGCCGGCCGCAGCGACCGCCGCCAGTCCAGCAGCGCCCGGCCCTGCTCATTGACGCACCGGCACGGGGCGACCAGCAGCGCGGCGCAGGCGAGCGACACAAGCAGCGCGAGGGCGCGGGAGCGCGGCGGCATTGGCGCCCGGTGGCCGACGAGGCCGCGCGTGCGAGGTGGACGGACGGACGGACGGATGGAAGTTTTTTGGTGGTGCGATGGGGATGTGGCGTGGCGCCTCCTATTGCTGTCGTCGGGATTGTAGAGCGGGACACCGCGCCACGATTAGTTTATACCCCTAGACAAGAAGGGGATTAGAGATCTGGATCCAAATGAGCGCAGATTAAGTAGCTAATCCCGTTTGTTTTTATCACCAAATCAAAAGATTTTGGCCGCTGCAGTGTGGTGTGCAGTGAGTGGTGGGAACATGGGAGGAAGGTGGCGGTGGCGCTGCCATCATCTGCACCGCACACATATGTTTATGTTTAAGCCAACTTGGTGTACTTATTATTACTGCTGCGATGACAGTACTCCTAATCTGACTTGTTAATGGCTCCCGAGGTGAAAAACATCTGCGCCTTCTCGTGCTCTGTGAAAACACCAGGCTCCTAATTCCCTCGGTAATCCAACTCTTCTTCTATCCGTTCGTGATTTGTGGGGCATTTGCAGTGTCAGGCTCACTCAGACTCAGGTAAACCTGGTTCCTTTGTACTACCCCTGCACTTATGCAGGGGGTTGACAGTGGCTGTTACTGCTCTTTTTAGCATGTGCAGGACGCATGACCCTTTCTTAGCGGGGTTAGGTTAACCTTCCAAATGTTTCTGATGGTCTGAACAGTGAGCCGGTTGCTTTGCGGCTGCCTCTTTGCATGATGCGCAAGTGTTCTTCCGTAGATCTGCTACTTTGCACTTTACAGTGACGGTAAAATACTAACTGCAGCTGTAACTTCTTTTTTTTAACTTGAACTGCATTGGTGTCCGATTACTGTGCCTCGTGTTTTCTCAGCAGTACAAATGTACTGTTTGCAGGTGAAACATAGTTCCTTTCCTGGTCAATTCAACGGTTTTACTTCTGAACCTCTGAAGTACCCATTCAGGTTTTCATCATGAGGTATGTGTGTTTTCTGTTTGCCTGCAGTCATCTTTATATGCAGTTTTGACTTCTGGCACATCTGCTTAAGTTACAACGGAGTATCTACTGGTACAGTAGTTGGCAGGACCAACGGGAAATATGTCCATGACTCTTTCTTTCTGTCCTCTGATTTTCTTAAACAACCGCATATGCTGTAATTCTTCTGTGCGTCAATGTTGGTTGTTCAATATATGTTATCTAACCTATGATGGTGCAGTCCTACTCTTTGGCAATTATAATGGAGTATGGCAAAGGCTCACAATCCAGTTGACTGGAACTTGTTTTGTGAAGGTTTAGATGCAATGAAGTATGGATTGAATTTATTTATTTTTGTAAATACTAGAGCCACGCTGGTAAACAGTATTTTGGCTATGCTGGTCTGCTATTTTCTTTTTATACATTACTCAAAGTCAAAAGTAGTATGTGATCAAATTTCAGATAATGTGTGTGATCATTGCACGAGTTCAAAAACTTCACATTGCTCCTTCTCCAGATGCGCTCTGGAAATGAGAAAGCATGTTCATCTCACATGCCCAAGTTAACACTAATTAGAGGATGCAAGAACTGGCAAATCCTAAGTACTTCTTGTGAGCTCATGATGGGCATCAGTGATAGGCCTGTGGGGTTAAAGAAGGAGTAAGACATCGGAGGGAATCTTAGGGTGCACATGGCAGTAAAGGGGTGAAGGTTAGCACTACGCACCTAGAAAAACTAAGCAACTTACCCATGTGAATAGATGGCTAACCGCTGGAAAGTAACCGAAAAGATCAGATGCAATCTGGTTAAAAACTAATTTCCTTGGGCAAGAACATGTACATGTCTTTGAGTGCAAGGGACAATGAGGAACATGATATTACTAAGATAAAAACTTGTTGAATTTTAAACCACCATATTGTGATTACTAGTTTAATCGGCCTGTCGATCTGGACTTAGCACCCTCGCCACGGCTGGTAGATCCCTGCGGCGTTTGAGAGGTTAACATTTTGAACGTCGAATTTCTAACTTTTTTATAAAGTTTTGCTTTCCACCTTGTGTGAGTGGTGCATTCACTTATTTCGCAATGGCTCCTACTTTTACTTTGTGGATTGAATTACTTCAATCAAAATGCAGCAAGTTTAATCGTATTTTTTTACAAAGAGTTCAAGTGTAATTGTGTAGATTAAAACCAAATGGCTAGAGATATTGTGAGAAATAAATGGTTTTTGAGATGCAAAACTTGAATTGCAATAACCAACTACCCCTACCTAACCATTGTACTAACAAGCTTGATGTGAGGTCAAGTCAACTAAGCTAGATTAACTTTTGTACTAGTAGCAACGCAAGGAATAAACAGCGAAGTAATCCGCACTAATCGACCGTCGATTGCGGTTAGAATGGGGTCACATGGGTGATGGATGGCTTACCATAGAGAAACCAAAGCAGGAGGGGACATGTTAGGTGCCACGCATGGTTGATAGTGTAATGTCATGGGCAATATGGTGGTGGATGATGGATGGTAACACTAGCATGAGAGGAATATGAGGAGCAATTGGATTCAGATCCCATCGACATCGAGGGATGCCATGACAAGATGAAGGCACGGAGCACATGGTTAAGTTTCAAGCAGGCCTGTGGATCGATCGATCGCAGGGTTAATTAAGATTAAAACCTGTACTGCTGCCTAGCTACAGATGTGATGCAGTTCTTTCACAGCTAATTCTTCCGTTAGTTCTCTGACACTAGGACTTTTCCCAGGCCTGCTGGCAGCCAAGATCTGATCCAAGGCCCTCTGTTTCCACCAATAAAAGATGGCCGGCTCCTCATTTTTTTTACAAAATCACATGAACTTTACGCGGATAGATCCGGCTAGAAAAATGCCTCTCAACGCACCGTCAAAAGGTAATTAAAGTTAATGGCCGGCTTAGAACATTCCGTCACACAAAGGTCGAGGCGGTTAAACAATGCTGCTGCTGTTCTTTTGCTTCTCACATTTCAGTCACTTCCTGCTTGCAATTGCAACTTGCATGGAGTAGGCAGTGCTTAAGCAATGCTAGTAGAACCTGACATTATTAATTTTAGGCATCTATCTATCTATATAGCTAGTGAGTCGTTCAAAGCAGCTGTAAGCTACACATAGCTGTCGGAGTCACATTCTCCAAAATCACAACAGTAGAAACATTTGCTGCACAGGGATGAACTCTCTGTGTGTCTCACATTTGTCACTCCTTTTAGGCGCCTAGCCGGACTTCTAGAGCTACCATGCTAGAGATAGCAACTCAAATTGCCAGCGGCAAATCGACTGTGAGTGCTGAAGAACAACTGTAAACCTGAAGTGTGGAATTTATTACTGCCAAGAAGGGTGAACTCTGTCAGGTAAAAACATTTTAACATGCTGCGTTAACTGAAGATGGCAGCAGAATGGAGTTAACTTGCATGAGGTTCTGTCACTGAGTTGCTGCTACTTCCTGCAATCTGTGGCGCCTATGGTGTGCTAGCCCGAGCAAAGCAGCTGGAAGCAAATTGATGAATTTGGGGGCATCTGCCTGCCTCGCTGAGCCTATCTGCTCTGATCATAGCCCTGTCATGACTTCCTAGCTTCTCCCAAATATATCTAGCCAACAACACGGCAAGAACATAGACTACTCGAACAGGCAAAATATGTACGTAGTAGATTTGGTCAGGTTTACATATGTTTCATGAACTTGGATGAACCTGCTCCTTTTGCATATTCCTAGAGCTGTATTAGTATATCATCGTAGCCACTTTATTTCCATGAGCATATGTTTTCATAAATCAGATTCATACGGTCCTAGAAACATTCCATACAAAGGCAGCTACGCACCCGGAACATCCTCTTTTGTCTACACGCTGATTCATCGGAAAGGGCGGCTGCTTTCCCACACATTTCTCTTGTCCCTACATCACAAATTCACAATGCATTTCGTGATATCAGCAGAAACCGAGATATGCACCGCCGCTTTGCGCACGCCTCCGCCTGGGTACGTAGGGTGGTTCAGGCGGCACCACCCCATGTTTGGTGTGGTTTGCCCCGGGGAAACGTCGCGGACGGATCGATTTGTCGTGCACTTTGGGAGCCCGTCCGTATCCATCACCCCCGCCACTGGCCCCTCTCCATGTTTGCATCGGAAGTTTGAAACTACTTCATCTTCCTGTGTGATCTCTGATCTACTCCTACTTGCTACTTAGTCTGTTCTGCTACTCTGTTCCTCGGGTCATTTTCAGTGTCCCCTGAGCGCAAAGCCTAGTGGTTGGGGATGGCGTCGCTCCCCCTCCCCTTAATTTCAGGATTTTGCTCTCCTGATACGCACATACACGTACATGGCCTTTATCTTTTTGTCTCTGGGCCTGCAGTTTTCTATGCGCTGAAAAGGGTTCAGCTGGGGCACCAAGAGCTGTTGGTGCGTTATCATAATATTTTCTGATGATTTGCTTAGGTGAGATGGATTCCGAGAGATAAACAACGCGTGCATGAGCACACGAATTCGGCAAAGCGTGTGCGAAAGAAAATGTGTGGACTTTGAGATTGAGCGTGCGTGTGTGTATGGGTGAGTGGCTGTCTGGAGGCAATAATGCTGGCTCATCTGGTGAACGACTCTATGATTAAGTCGCCAACCTTGGATGTGTGTCGTATAGTTTATTCTGCTAATCCAAATTTGCATTTTTAGACCAGGTGGAGTGATTCTTTTTTTTAGTCAACAACTCAACATATCTATTTTGTTGATTCTACTGTTTTAGACTACATATATCCTTGTTTTTTCAATAAGTTTACTTAGGCTACATACCTTCAAAAGAAGAGTTAAATGCACACATGAGATGTTCCTAATACTTTTGGGGGCGTCAAGCTAGTCCTAAATATACAAAAGCACATATATGAGCCCTAAATGACGGCCCATAATTAATTCATCGGGTATTGTCCAATCCAGCTCACCTCGGACCCGAGTGTGTATGGCACTTTGACCACCGCCACGTCGACACGGGCTCTCAGAGATTTCCTGTCGTTGGTAATTGGAGAATTTTGCAATGAGGCCCTATTAAGTGGTTATCTTTGCCTCCCCTTTCAATGTCGCTCTCCTCTTCCACCACCACCCTATTCCCTGACATGTATGTGAGCTCGCTCACTTGCTTGCTGCTGGGGAAGCGAGACAAGGAATAGGGTTGTCACTACAACCTTAAGTAACATGGCCGTCGGCTTCTATCATCGCTACTATTGTAGTGTGTGGGGTGCATGTGCTTTCGATGCAGAACTGTCATGCATATCTTCTCATGTTGAAGATTGGCCAACTGTTCTAGGAATGAATGCCCTAATCATTGGGCAAGGCTTAAAATTGCCGAAAGAGACGGTCATCCTACATTGCATATGGTATATATGTCTATTTCATTGAATAGATCATTGTGGTCCGTATATAGTGTATAATACTTGAACTTTAGTACCACCACAGTCATGCTAAGATTATCAGCATCATAGTCCACAGTGAACTAGACATGGTTAAGAGTACATGTAGACATGAACTCTCTGGCATATGCCATGTTCATGTCAAAACTAGAATAAAACCTCAGGATGAATCTTCAGTGAGAACGGCTCCGCAGATGGTCCTATTAGTAAAAGTAGTCATTTGAGCACTAAACAAGGGCAACACTAAGGATTGACCATAATAGGAACCCTAAATCCTAAGTTTCTTGCACAGGAGAAATGTGTGCTTAAATCAAAGAAATCTCACAATGTAGCTAACATCTCTATGTTAAAAACAAGCTACAAATCTACGAATATAAGAAGAATACATTAATACAAACTGAGAGTGGGTCGCATTGATTATTCTATTGTGGAGGAAGATCGTATGGCCGTTGCCTAGATTACTAGAGTTATCTTAACGGAGAGCCCCACCGAGCGATTGGTCGCCTACTTGCCACTATCCAACCTTCCCTACCGCCGCATGCCCAGATGACTGCACGGTGGGGAAAAGAGGAGTTTGAGCCATGAATGAGGCCGAGGAGGAGGGATGGGGTGGGGGTTGCAAATTTATCCTGCATTCGATCATGCCTTATGGTAACCGTCATGATGTGGAAGTGGTCAAAACGGCACATGAACCCATCGGTGAATTAGATAGAGCCTCACTTATTGCCATTTAGGACCGAGATGATGCATTTTTATAAAGTTTGAAGTTCGGTGGTCTTCGAATCTCAATGTAATTTTTATTATGTTTGAAGTGTTTTGTACTCCTGATGAACTATTGATAATAGATCTGGATCATCTTCGTAAAAAAAAAAGATGACATGTCCAAAATGATATCATGACCTCCCATGCATCTCACTCCTCGTTAAATCCTTCCAAAATTCCTACAAACAGGCCCATAGTCGTCCCTCTCGAACTAACGGCACCCTCCTCCCTGCTCCCTGATTGTGCCTGCGTTTGTATCCCCACAAGGCAAAGGCTGCATGCGTGCATGCCTGCACCACACCGCACAATTCCTGACCATGCATGCATGCCTGCACTCGATGACACCTGCATGCATGGCATCCGCATGCACGTCCGCCTCGCCTCGCCGCAGCGCTTTCTTGAAATGAAGAAACGCCGCAGAGCAGCGGCGTGGCGCCATGCCGTGCTACTCGCCCCGCTTGCTGCAAAGGGAGGAAAACAGAAGGCCCATCGCAGCGGCAACCTGGGACCTCTGCCATCGATGCAGGAACTGATATGGATATATAGACTGGTCATGTCATGTCACCAGGCCATTCATCATATAGACTTGGCGTCATGCGCAGCGGGTCAGCGTGGTGGACATCATGGGACGCATCTGCCGGTTTCTAAGCAGATGGAGATGATGATCGAGGAACAACGGCAAGCATTTTGCGAGTGTGTTTTGCACATGCATGGTATCGGTAAATGCATGTGTTTGCCGAGTTTCCCTCTCGGCTTACTTCGCTTTGCCGAGTGCCCGTGGTTTGATTCTCGGCAAAGAGCCAGGCACTCGGCATATGAGGAAATTCCAGTGGTGACGCGGCATCTTCTCGAAATTCAAATAGGGTAAATAAAAACAAGAGGGGCATAGATGTTTTCCTTTTTGATAAACACCGATTACAACACGGACACATATGTGTCTACACAACGCCTACTGAAGATCGGTACGCTTTTTTTTTTGACAGAATGAGTTGCGAAATCATAACCGTAATGCTCCTACTTATGATACTATTGTGCCACAGATGTTACGACCTGATATTTCTCCTTTGGCAAGACTTAAGCACGAGTCTTGGTTTAAATCTGCATATGAGCTAAAGGAGACCACGGCTTGCTCTTGAGTCTTGGCACCATACAGTCGTTGTCAGGAAGAGGAACTGTAATGGATTAGATACGAGAGCTTCGTAATTTCAGGGCAGTACTAACATGTGTCCAATAACCGGGCACGGCGCTGCAGAATCAGGTTGTCCACGTCGACGAATCGAACCTGGAGCTGGGCTTCCTCTTTCGCTTGGGCCTTGATGGGCCGGCCTCGCTCTCCTCTCCTTCTCCCTGCTGCAAAACAAAGGATGCTGTTCTAAGAGAAAGGATACAGATGCCGATCTACAGCCTTGCAAAATGACATGATTTTACTATTCAAATCATTCTAAAACCAGGAAGGCCCCTGCTCTTTTGCTGGCCTAATTAAACACGTGCAGTGTTTCAACTTTTGTATGTGTTTAGTTTCGATGTTTCCAAGATGAATCAGAATATCTACTTCAAACTTCTACCAGTGCTTTGAATAAATGAATTGTATCTAAACTGAACTGCACATGTAGCAAAACTGCAGAAGTGAATACCATCATACTGATATACCCTAGCAGCAAGTCATTACCTTCCTTGTTTAAGGGAAATGGGGCTAGATAAGTAACATGTAATATGAACAGGGAGGCTACTGGAGTAACTGTAAGTTAGGCCTTCACAAACCTTTGTGTGGTCTGCCGCTAGGGTCATCTTCTTTTTCTCACCACAGGCCGTGTCCGCTGCCTGCGCTATGACCTAGAAATAACATGTCAACTTTGTAAAATTCACAACATCACAGAGACAAGCGCAACAAAATTAATGATTCTGCTCAAAGAAGACCATACCGTCCGTGGAGCATCCAAACCCTCAAGATAAGATTTCAGCATGTTCACCACCCGTCTCTGCTCCACCCAATTAAGCCTTCGGAGGGGGCTATCCTGCTGCATTCACATCAGACACTTCTAAAAATCCTCACTCCGAAATTGTAAGGAAATGTTGATCCGATATATTAAAATCTTGGTTGCTTTCAGTTCGATGCAGAAGGATGAAGTTTACCTGATCTGGCGGGGCAGGCAAGTTCAGACTGATGGCTACGCCCGTCATACGTGCCATTTCCTGCCAACAAGGGTGGTTATTACAGTGTGTCACACTCAACATCTTCAACAGTAACGAAATTAACATGTATAGGTTAACAAGGGAAGTGAAGCTATTATACATGCATCCTTTGCTGAATCCCATGGCCGGCTCTCCACAGCTCCTCCACCTCAGAGCGTTTGTGTTCCCACGCCTCCCACTTCTTCAATCTCCAACCCTCTTTTCGCCTTGGCGTGCGCACAATGCCGGCCTTCTTGTATGCATCCAACCGCACAAGTGACTTCACATGCATATAGGATTGCATATGCCCGTTCCAGCGGGGGCTGAAATCTAACAGCTTTGCCAACTTGGTTACGTCAATCGTAAATTTCTGGCTAGTCAATTCATGGCAGTATATGCCATCATTACCACTATGCATGGCAATCTTATCCCCGTAGATGAAATGCGGTCTTAGAATGTCAAGTGCTGATAACTCAATACTATGCTTCTGGATCCAGCTTTGCTTCTCCTTGTTGTCAAGTGTCCAAACATACAACCTCCGTGCAAGCCCGGAATCTCTTCTGGCTTGAACAGCAGCCACGGACACCTTGGAATCTATCTCCGTGATCCGAAATAACGGATTACCAAATGCAGGATCCGCAAAAACAACCTCGGGCAACCGTATTAATTTCTGACATTCATCTCCGAGATCAAAGCATACGACGGCCCGTCGCCAGCTGCTTTCTTCGTCTTTGGTTAGCCAGTACATTGCTCCGTCAGCGTTGACGACCCCAGTTTGTTTCACACAGAACAAGCTCAGAGCTTGTTCAGTTCTGACGTCCCTCCACTTCTCACCGCCCAGCGTGTAAACTTGAATGACACTGAAGGAACCACCGACATGGTGGCGCTCCTCGCCCGGAAGAAAGTGCAAGATCTTGTATTCGTTTGTGGCTGGGCTGAAACCAAAGCTGTAGAACAAATGGTGATCAACCCTCGAGTGAAGCTTCACAGGTTTGGCGAGGTGCATACATTCACCGGTGGCAAGGTTGGCTATCTTGATGGTTGATTTATCCGAGTACAAGCAAACAAGGCCATTGCACGAAGCGCACAAGAAATCATCAGGCTCAATCACGGGCACATCCCATGTCGACGGCGACCAGGCCTCATCAAAGAGGACCGCTTCGCTAGGGAAGGACTTGCCGTAAGTCGCGCCTCGTTGGAAAAATAGAAGGGGTCGAGGCTGCGCGTGCCGGAGGTGTGCCATGGTGAACTGCGGATCCCGAATGATGCCATCCCACTGCTTGCAGACAACGCGGCACCGCAGCAGATTGCTCACCGGAAGCCTCAAAAGTATCAGTTCGATGATATCTTGCGGCAAGCTGGCCATGCGCTTCTTCTTTGTTGGCTGCATCGCCATGGCTTCCATCGAAGCCACGCTGAGAGTGCTGCCAGATCCTTCTGCAGTCAACAGTTTGACGGATTGGCAAGGCAAACGAATTCGGAGACTGAATAAACTCTGCAGAAAAATACATGAAAGCGAGAGGTCATTCAGCGCAGTTTTTAAACATCATGGGATCAAAAGAGGAGCCGAAGAAATCGACATGCCCTCAACATTATCCCCTCTTTATATGACTATACCCAAGAGGTTCGTCAAACATTCCATGATCCATAATCTTTGAATCTAATCTAATTATATACACAAATAAAATACTCCCTCCGTCCGAAAAACCTTGTCCCAAGGTTGTCCCTTATATGGATTCGAGGGACAAACTTTTCCGGACGGAAGAAGTAAATGATAGTACTACCTAGTCATACATCCGTCGCCTCCGCTATTTCGTACTCGCCTGAATTTCATACTATAGATCCCGACGGATTGAACGTTTTTCCCTTGCGGGTTGCAACCCTAACGATCGATTTGTATTCCCTAGGGGATCAAGCAGGCGCGTGATGCGGAACAAGCGGGATCACAGAAAACGTAGAGGAAGCGAAAACGAGATCCGGAGTTAAGGGAGGTGAGGGGAGACTCACGGGCGAATTCAGATGAGCTCCTCCGCCGACCGCCGGCGCCTTGGCCCCCGCGAGATGATGAGAGAAATAAATGATGAGATCACGCCGCCGTTTCATCGAGAGGGAGCGGGGTATTTAACCGCCTGTGGGCCGGACACGGCTCACGGAATTCCGACTCCGGCCCGGTGGTGCAGTGGCCAGGTTCCGAACGGATACGGCTTCAATCCCCCACCCCTTTGTGGCGCCTATAGCGCTGGCCATATTGTTATTTTTCTCTGAAGCGCTTCCTACAGTTTTTTCTGTGGCAGTTTCCTGTGGGTTTTTTCAGGAAGTTTTTTTTATACTTCGTTTAAATTATTTTATCAATGAACTTTTATTTCAAATTCACCAAAAAATAATTCCTGCACCTTTTTAAAAATCGTGAACTTTTCTCGAATCCATGACCACTTTTTTGAATGTGCGTTTTTTTTTCAAATTCACAAACTTTTTTCAAATCCATAAACAATTTTCTATATCCAAATACGGGGAGGTCAAGACAACCAAGGATACTTGCAGCATGAACCATTCATGCCCGTCTTATACACTGCACATCTATAAAACCCATGTGACATGGGGTATTTGGAGGATAGCTTGATATTTTCAAGTGAGAGATTGATACGTCTCCAACGTATCTATAATTTTTTATTGTTCCATGCTATTATATTATCAACCTTGGATGCTTTATATGCATTTATATGTTATTTTATATGATTTTTGGGACTAACCTATTAACCTAATCGGGACCCTATTCCGGCACCCTGCCGGAGGGGGGAACCCTCACCGGTGGCCATCTTCATCATCCCGGCGCTCTCCATGACGAGGAGGGAGTAGTTCACCCTCGGGGCTGAGGGTATGTATCAGTAGCTATGCGTTTGATCTCTCTCTCTCTCTCTCTCTCTCTCTCTCTCGTGTTCTTGAGGTGATACGATCTTGATGTATCGCGAGCTTTGCTATTATAGTTGGATCTTATGATATTTCTCCCCCTCTACTCTCTTGTAATGGATTGGGTTTTCCCTTTGAAGTTATCTTATCGGATTGAGTCTTTAAGGATTTGAGAACACTTGATGTATGTCTTGCGTGGGATACCTGTGGTGACAATGGGGTATTCTATTGATCCATTTGATGTATTTTTTGGTGATCAACTTGCGGGTTCCGCCCATGAACCTATGCATAGGGGTTGACACACGTTTTCGTCTTGACTCTCCGATAGAAACTTTGGGGCACTCTTTGAAGTACTTTGTGTTGGTTTGAATAGATGAATCTGAGATTGTGTGATGCATATCGTATAATCATACCCACGGATACTTGAGGTGACATTGGAGTATCTAGGTGACATTAAGGTTTTGGTTGATTTGTGTCTTAAGGTGTTATTCTAGTACGAACTCTATGATAGATCGAACGGAAAGAATAGCTTCATGTTATTTTACTACGGACTCTTGAATAGATCGATCAGAAAGGATAATTTTGAGGTGGTTTCGTACCCTACCATAATCTCTTCGTTTGTTCTCCGCTATTAGTGACTTTGGAGTGACTCTTTGTTGCATGTTGAGGGATAGTTATATGATGCAATTATGTTATTATTGTTGAGAGAACTTGCACTAGTGAAAGTATGAACCCTAGGCCTTGTCTCAACGCATTGCAATACCGTTTGTGCTCACTTTTATCATTAGTTACCTTGCTGTTTTTTATATTTTTAGATTACAAAAACCTTTATCTACCATCCATATTGCACGTGTATCACCATCTCTTCGCCGAACTAGTGCACCTATACAATTTACCATTGTATTGGGTGTGTTGGGGACACAAGAGACTCTTTGTTATTTGATTGCAGGGTTGCTTGAGAGACCATCTTCATCCTACGCCTCCCATGGATTGATAAACCTTAGGTCATCCATTTGAGGGGAATTTGCTACTGTCCTACAAACCTCTGCACTTGAAGGCACAACAATATCTACAAAAAGAATGTTGTGTAGTAGATATCAGAGCTCACCTTACAAAATACGTCAAATAAGGTGCATAAAAAGGGATTAATATCACAGGCAATTCATAATTCAGTGACATGTATAGCCCCTTCCGTTGAAGTGGTCTGCGTCGTCTATGCACAGTTCTTGCAAAAAAGTCTATTGTGGAAGAAGCTTTTTGAAACCAGCAGAAAACCATCACCGTGGCAGTAGAAAACATTGTCGTGGGCAGTTTTTTAGCAGAAAACACTGTCATGGAAACAGATTCAAAAACTCTACTGTTGCAATCTATTTTTGCTGCCGTGGCAGAACTTTTCTACCCTAGCATGATTCTTCAACTTTTTCTCACCGGAGAACTCCTTTTTCGCATATGACGATTGTATCTCATATAAACATATTAATCTTATGAAGGCTCATACCACATCACATGCAAACCTCCTGCAAAAATAAGTTAGATGCCTCTAATTGCTTTTGCTAATTACCATGGCTGCTACAGTTAAGTTGATTTTTTTATTTTCCTACGAAACCATAAGCACGCACTTCACGTTGTTGTTTAATAAACATGCAGGGTGCCTTAGGATATACCGAAGACTAAACTTCATCATTACGCGTGACCCCCTGTAGATCAAATCTACAAGCCCTCTTCATCATAAAATTTAGCATTCTCAACTATGGTTGAACCGAAAGAATCTGAAGCATAACTTCGGTTAGCAAACAACATACTTACGAGGAGCATAAAAGTACCTCATAAATTCAGACTGTTGTAACAAAGTTCTTCCATGCCATCAAGATTAAAACTACGCTAAATAAGGGTTACAACATGAACGTTCGTTAACTAGAGCTCCCTAACCACTCCGCACACAATGCCGCATATCATCATATGCTCTAATTGTACCTGCATCTACTCATAGATATGCTCATGATACCATTGTAGGGGAACATGCTATACGCAACAACAAAAAATTATGCTACACGATCACACCCAGGAACAATATCAAGAGGGCAGTAACGATCAAACTCACAAACGAGTAGAGTAGTGGAAGTGGTTAAGAAGTTGGTGAAGCATGATGATTCCCACAACTAGGTTATACCCCCAGTGCAAAAATATTCTCTGAAACGAGAGCCGAAGTAGACGATCCCACCAAGGTATACATGTGTTCCAAAGAAGTAATCCAACAAAGATCCGACGTCCAAGAATATGAACACCAAAAAAACTAGAAAGAGAGAAAGCCTAGCGGCGCTTCTCGTCTAATTTGGAGTTTATCTTGGTGGTTAAGAAGCAGGCAATACAGTATGTTTTTGCAGGCAATGTGATGTGTTCTTTTAGTCTTGATCTCTTACTGCCAGTGGGAGTTATGAAGTTGATCTCTCTAGTATTTTTTGTGCCAGCACAAGTTCTTTTTCCGCAAACCCCTGCTGCTGTTGTTAGCGTCGTTAAATTTCAGTTAAGTTCAGTCAAAAGATTGGTTTATCGTTTGTGCTGTTGAACATTTTTCTGAATAATTGTTAGGCCACATAGTAAGGTCCAGCCAATAGAATATGTATTGGCAAATACAATGTGTTTTTGCAGTCAATAGAATATGTTTTTGCAGAAACATAGTGGAGGTAGGCAGCATTTCTGTTAAGTTTAGGCAATAGAATATGTTTTTTTAGACAATACAATTAGCCAAGTCATCAGGGAGCATATTCAGGTCAAGCCCAGACATCCGGGAATTTCAAAAACAAAAAGGAAAATTTTAGTAAGCAAAAAGATTTATAAGACGCACCACCAGGGAGAGTTTTTTTTTTTGCATAACCAGCATGAAACAAAGGTAGTTCCATTAATAGTTTTCACTGTGAGCAACTTCTCTTTTTAATTGCAGCAGCTTGATGTGCCTACAATTTTTACTTTGGACAATACAGGGGAACTACTACTACATATTATATGAGCAACTTCATTTATAATCAGAATGTCCTCTTTTTGTAACAAAGCCCTGGAAATGTAGGCACATTTAACTCACAATGGCACAGAGAACTTTGCTGTAGGCAAAAAAATTCTACCCAAATGCTGAGCGGTGCACACACGCGTTATCAAGCGCGCTCAAGCAGCCGCCCAGGAACCATCCATCTGTTGTAAGATCGTGACACGTGGAGAGGTGGACCGATCAAGCGGACAACCACAAAGACAGTGGTTTTTTGTCGCTTCCCCTTGGAAATTTGGGGAGACGCGCCCAACTTTTTTAATTACTATAATTTGTGTATAGACCAAAGGGTTCGATCAGCATGTGGCAGATTGTTTAATTGGTTTCGGGAAGGCAAGCATATAAGTTCCTTTGCAAAACAAATTTTGTTGTGTAGATATTGCTGTACTAGAGATCCATTCCTATATTTTACTGATATGCATGCTTCAATAGTAGTACTTATGTTACGATGAGGAGTA